ACATAATATGCCCTCGAATAGATTAATCTACTATAACCAACATGCCATTTCGGCATCTTTTTAAATAAATCGACTATAAATATATAGTTCCTGCATAAAAATTAAAATCTGGGTGATGACTTAAATTGTTTCAGCCATGATTGAGCTCATGTGACCGAACGTGAGGCATGCAGCATGGAATATATCTGTCGGGCCCCTTCTTCCTCTTCCACGAAGGACCGGGGAAAGAAATATGAAGCCAAGAAGAGTCTTCAAATTTGTTATCAGATAAAGGTTACTCCTCAAGGACGTCCCCATTCAGTAAAGCTAAAGCTGCATGCCTCCCTATAGACCCACTGCACCATTTTAGAGAGAGAGAGAGAGAGTACTAGTTTGTGTGCGCCATTAGAGATAGAGAGAGAAAGAGGGACCTCATTCTTTGTATTTTTTCATAATATCACCTCAATATAAAAGATTATTAGACTTCAAATATAATTTTTTTCCCTAATTAGAGCAATGGTTATTTCAAAAAAGAAGAAAAATTTACATTTTGTATTATGATTGATCTGTATGTGACAAGATATATGGTTGATCAAAATTACAAATTTTTATATTAATATTATTAAATATGAAGTGAGTTGTGTGAAAATAAGAATTTTGTTTATTATTTTTTAATGGCAAGCGTTGCATCCACTTATTATATATACTTTTCTTTTTAACTATTGTGGCCATGTGCCTTTAATGTTGCAGCCTATACCAGTGGAAGGCATTGATAGGATCTACATATGCATGGAATTCCGAGCCCTTCTCTCGCAGTCCTAGCAATCCTACAATCTCTCTCTTGCATCTTTTTATCTTTCATGGAACAGCTCAACAATAATTATCTTGTCATCTGGTGAGGAGAACCAAAGAGGAGAATGCTATCTTTCTTTTCATGGCTACATGAGCTGTTGGGGGCTATAGGAGAGAGAGAGAGAGAGAGAGAGTCTGTGGTTTGCTTTATTCTCCTCCATGAGAGCGTACTGTTGTCACCTTGGTCCTTGCGAAAGCAGACGAAAGGGCAGATTCCCTGAGACAAGGACACTTAAACAAACAAGGGTGTTCAAGGGATTTCATCTTTTCCTCTCTCCTTCTTTTTCAGCTTCTTCCTTCTGTTACTCCTGCAAATATTTTCCCTCTGCATTTCCCTTCCCCCTTTTTTAACCATACATTCATCCATAGATCACCTTTATTTCAGAGCAGCTTGTCTCTTCGAACATAAATTATTAGCTGATCGAAAACACGAAGTACATTTTTTTTCTGTCTATTATTTGGTGCAAAATCGACAGACATGTTTGTTTCTACGTTTATTTTGCATGTCTAATAATTTTTCCTACTGGAAACAGTTGGTTTAATTTCCTTTTGTTGATAATGTGAATATTATTTTTATAATATTACAGTGGAAGCCATAGATCTTTGTCTTTCTAGGAACAGAAAATAGACAAGTTTTTACTAGCCATTGTTCAAATATAAATGTGACGCTTGATATCAGAAAAAAAAAAAAAAGAACGGTAAGTAGCTAGCTGGGCATTATAACAGAAAGGCTTGGATTGTCGATATATACATGATGGCTATGACAAAGAGAAGAAAATGAGAAGATCGATGTGATAGTCCTTGTATTTAATCAATATATATAAATGTTTTCCAATCTTCAAGGCGGATGAAAGAGCTTTCATTGGAGTTAGAAATTGGCCACCCCCCGTTCTAGCTAGTTCTACCTGATAAACATGAAGTACATAGGAACCAAGGAATTGATGCACTTGAAGTCATGCACAGAATCTTGGTCAAAAGTGCAATGTTTGTTCTTCCAGACTCTCTCAAAAGATGAGAAATAATATTTCATCACAACTTTAGCCTGCATGAAATATATTATAACTATATATATTTCCCAAAAGATGATTCTATATAGTTATTCTCTTTATCAGCTCTCTTGCTTGAATCATATCATAATCTTCAGATAAGAAATCTATTTCTTCTTCAATATATGCGTTTTAAGCTACATAATTATGCTTTATCAGTACGTAATTATGCATTTACCACATTTCTCTATCAAGTGAGCTCTCAGACCACTTAAGAGATTAATATTTAGGAACGAAAACAGCACAGATACAATGGTAAATAAGAGAACTAATACAGAATTGCTAAAACAACCTAAAAATATATGCATGGAACTGCATTTTGATAATTATAACGTTCAAACAGTTAAATGTGCAACTTTCTACAACACTGTACTTAAGCAAGAACAAACGCTTACGGTATTGTTAAGTACAGGAAGGATACTAATTACTCAAGACACACTTTACCTAGTTTATACCATGCATAAATATAGTTCTCATGCACCACATTAAGTAACCATCCTATGAAGAGATACAGCAGAAGGAGTAAAAATAGCCAAAAAAAAAAAAAGGTAAATTAAACACCACCCAAAGGAACTCAAAACAAAGAAGCCTACCTATATATGATCATGGTCTAGTTATACTTGATCATAATAATATTGTTCTTGAAAGATTGTAATCTTTTCCTCCCAAGTATCACCACAGCTTTAATGTTCGAAGCAAATCAATAGAATTGTGCTTCTTGGGTTGTAAATGAACTCACAAGTCACAATATGTTGCCGGAAGACGAGGAATTGAATCCCGAAAGGTCTCCCAACCAGCCACTGCCACCACCATTACCGACGCTTGCACCACCGTCGCCATTTCCATCCCAATACTGATCATTTCCAGTAACACCCAAATACTGCCTTTGTAAATTTATCCCATGAGAACTATCCTCCATCTTCACAGAAGCCAGTTGAGAAATAATCCCGGAGCTAGAAGCTTTAGTGAGCATTCGACCAGTTGAATACCCTTGATGATCATTTCCACTACTTTCACCATCAAAAGGAAAAAGCCCAGCAACCGTTGCCGGTGCCGTGGAAGAAGCGTCAAGCCCACCCATGAAAGGAAACTGCTGCATCTGTTGCATCCTCCACTGCTCCAGACCAACTCCACCGCCGCCGCTGCTCCCAATTTGGTAATCAACTGAATCCAACGGATGAATTCCGGTGAAACCGAGGCCGATATTGGTGGTGGAGTAGTCGCTGAGTGGTTGAAAGTGTGTCATGAAAGGGAGTTGAGGAGGCGGCGGCGGTGGAAGGATGGTTGTTGAGTTCATGCTAGCAGTGGCAGTGGAGGACGAAGCCCCGGCTGAAAAGGAGGTTTTGGATGAGGTGGAACCGGCTTTTGTTCTCTTGTTGCGGCGGCATCCGCCGCCAACGGGGACGTTACGAAGGGCGCCTCCGCGGGTCCAGTAACGCCTGCAAGTCTTGCAGAAGTGTCGGGGTTGTGAGAGAGAGTAGTTGTTGAAGTAGCAGAATTTGGTGTTGGTGGAGTCGCAGCGAGGGCACTTGAGGGCTGGTTCAGGTTGGGGAATTTTGGCTAGGCGAGCTCGTTCGGCCATGGAGACTGGGCGGGTCGGGCCAGGGAGACCAATAGGATGCGGAGGTGGGTCAGCCATCAACGAGGAGAGTTGAGGGGGGTGGCTGATGGTGGTGGTGCTCGGTGGTTGGTGAGATGTTTGCTGCATATAGGAAGAGAACATGAATTAAAATAGTATATTCAAGAATAGTTTTGAAGGGAATTAAAGGTTGGGAAGGAATATTTTCTGAAACCTTCCTCTTTTTTACTTTGCTTTTTTCATGAAGAAGCTATGTGTTATAAGAAAAAGGATGGGAAAGAAGGAAGAGAAATTAGATGAAAAGAAGGGGGGAGATGAGGAAGAGGAGAAGAAGGAGATAGAGAGAGCTTACCTGGCTCCAGTTGGGTGGATCGAGATAGATGGGAAGCGATGAAAACACCATGGCTGGTTTCTTCGATTCCTTTTTGACTCGTTATATGAAGCTGAAGCGGCTAGAGAGGAGAATAAGTGGGGATATGAGAAAGAAGAGGCTCTGTTTCTTCATGAACGATGAGAGGAATTCCTTAAGCTTTTCTTTGGTAAGGTAGAAGAGGAGATTGCGAGTGACTGAGAGAACTGGGAGGAGTAGGAGAAAGTAGGATGAAGAAGACGTCGAGTTTCTTAGCCACTAAGATTCTCTGTGGGCTGCTATACGGAGCAGTGGTAGGAGATTAATTAGTGGATGGTTGCTCCTACATATAAAAGTTGGGAGTGGGGTTGAGAGAGAGAGAGAGAGAGGGAAGCGGATGGGGAGCCCTAATAGTTAGGGGAAAAAATTAGCTCAGAACATACATTATTAAATTTAGCTCACCCTACTTTTTATTTTCTTTTTATAAAAATCAATTTACTGTAGGAAATAATTATCTATGACCATGTAAATTATTTTTCTTGTAAAATAGATCTTATAATTTTATATAAATTTTAATATTTCAAAATAAAATATTTTACATTCTAAGTAATATTTAATTAGGAAGATTTTCATTTTTTTTTCCTAATAAAAATTTGGGAAGTTGCATTTAACTTTAACAAAAGTTATAAAAATCAATTTACTGTAGGAAATAATTATCTATGACCATGTAAATTATTTTTCTTGTAAAATAGATCTTATAATTTTATATAAATTTTAATATTTCAAAATAAAATATTTTACATTCTAAGTAATATTTAATTAGGAAGATTTTCATTTTTTTTTCCTAATAAAAATTTGGGAAGTTGCATTTAACTTTAACAAAGGCACTCGATTATAAAACATGAAAATTTTCCATTGATTCTGATTTATATATGAAAATTATTGATCAAATGCATTCATATATTTCAAAAAATTATTACCATGCCAGTATGAGCGACAATAATTATGTTAACATAGGAGCTTAAGACCACCATCCTATTTACTTGATCAACAAATATGAAAGATTTTTTTCTTGAACATGAATGGCATGATAAATCATTGGTGTATGTAGAATACTCAATAAAAATTTAGGCCAATCCAAAAGAAAATTTTGAGGGCTAAGCCTAGCCATCATTTGATTCTCATTCTAAAGCAGCATATAACTTGAGGGATTTAGAAGAAAATTTAATATAATAAGAGCACTTCTCATAACTTTTTTGGTCTTTTTCATAACCTCTATTAATATGTTGTCTATAGAAGTCAAAGTTCTCCAACATAGAATCATTATTAGATCCAGCAAATAAAGATATAAAAAATTAACTAGCCTTAATCATATGTAGTATAATAGCCTATACTTTATCTTCGATAAGAAATATTTCATGAGTCATTATAAGTTTAATATGCCAACCTTCATTACTATAATATAGATATTGTTATATTTGAATTATAATAATTTTATTTTAATTTTATTGGTAGTGTAGATATGAAAATAAGATGTTTCTAATTTAATTGCAATTCATTAATAAATTGATATATCTTAATCCATTGCAGCATCAATCACAGTATCAGTAATTGTCAACAGTACTAATGACAAAAAAATTATTAATATCGTGATTAATAAAGTTAAATTTTATTAAAGATAATAAAAAGTATTAGTGTCAGTCATAATATCAGTACAATATTCAAAGCAGTATCAGTATCATTATTCAAATATTTAATGAGTGTATCTTAAGGGTATCTTACTCCTGCACTTATAACTTCCAATCAGTCAACCCTTATAACTCCTAATCAATATTTTTTTTTTTTTTTTTGTTTGTTTTTTTTTGTTTTTTTTTTTTTTTTTTTTTTTT